CCCCCCTTACTTGGCTTCGATTATTTTCAGGATTTTTAGGAAAGGGACACTTTCATCTCTGAATACTTAAGAAATTTGCAAGTTATTTACACAAAATTCAAATTAATTCCAAAATTTTTATTAAATAACTTTTATATGATAACCTTTTTTTTTGTTGATTATCAAAGCAACATCCCAAGTAAATGAACAAGAAAATATATGCAAATGTTTTATCATCGTGTGAATTTCCTGCAAGAAAAAACTGGAGAAACATGCTTAATAACGGAAAATAAATTTTTGGAGATTTTATAAAGCAAAAAATTGCCAAAATTTATGGAGATTATTTATCTCAAGGATGATGATGACATGATTGCTAATATTTTAGAAACAAATGAACTAGACCAGGCTGAACAGTTCACAAGAAAATAGAAAGAAAATTGCAAGGAAGAAAAAAAAGTATAACAATTTGGGATAAAAAAGCAAAAATTTATGATATGATTACAATAGTCCCTGGTGGATACGACTCCTCCCAATAATGACTTCCTTTTAGATATTACTTTTTACTGTGCATGGAATGATTTTACATTGATCTGATCTCCTATGATCGACTTCCTAACAGATGTGACATAGGATCACGATTTTTAGGTCGAGGGTGAGATAATGACCTCTCTTTAGTGACTTTTCTTCATTTGAGTAAAAACATATAAACATGTTGTTTGTTGTGTGTTCATTTATTTGATTTTATGTGTACATATATGTATTATAATCTGAATTAGTGATGATTCAACTGTAGTTTGTTGATGTCCACAATGGATAAGTGATTAGATGCCACACCACACAAGGAAAATGAATATGGAGGCTGGGAAATTTTCATATTATATGTAATATTCTTCAAAATATGAATATCTCTGCCTCGATTATTTAATGTGATCAGAAAAAATTAATAATTTCAACAGCAGTTAGTGCTTGATTACACCAGTTGACACGTGAGTATTCTGATGGGTAGTGTGCAATTGACCATGACGCAAGCTGGGAAAACCCTCACCAGCCAATCAGCAGTCAGAATGAGTGTTTACTCGAGAGGTCAGATGATACATAATGTAAGTAATTATCCAAATGAGTAGTTATTCTGTGGCTTGCTTTATAAATATGACATGTATCCAAGAGTAAATCCCTTACATTTATGTACAAAGATAGATGCTGTTTCACAATGCTTCAAGAAAAGCAAAAACATGAACACCTCACCTCACTTTTGCATACTGAAAATGAACAGCAGAATACTTTTTGATATCATATCTGCTGCACTCAGGAACATTCCAAGTGACCCTGTTAAATGTGCAAAACAAACAAAGATGGGCGATTTTTTTTTAATGAAATATATTTGGTGTCAGTTTTTCATATTTGAAATAAAAATGTGATATGTATATTTTATGAAATAAATGTGATTGATGAATAAATTATTTTACATAAAACAAAAAACAATTTTAAGTTATCTTTGTTGAACTGTTGTCCATCATAAGTATTATTATACCAGTTTGCTACATCATCTGATTACCTATATAGTATATAAACCATTATGCTCAAGCCTTGGCAATAGCAACTGGCACAGCCAGAACTTGGTCATTCTTTATATGGTTATTGATCCTTTGAATAATGACTTCCTGTCAGATATGCCATTTTGTCATGGCAGATAGGTTGGTCGTATCTAAGAGTAACTACTGTACTTACGTCCTCTCACAGTTACAGCTATACTTGGTTTGACTGCCCTCTAGTGTGCAAATTTTCATTTTCCACTAACCTTGAACTCCCATCTAATTCCACATGTATACCACGTGGTTTAGCTGTGTTTAAGCATGCAACAACCCTCCACCAATAGGAGTGTGTGACACACCCTCCTGTTGCAGCTGACTTCTTCTAGGCAGTTGAACCCAATTTTAACTTCCAAATTAGGCATGAAAAACACCACCAAGTGTGGAGAGGATGGGTTGGAAAGTGAGAGGAGGAGGTAAGAATCTATCAGAAATATATTTTCAGTGTAGAAAACTATTAACTTTTAATACGATTACTTACCTCTTCTCACAGTTACAGCTAGAATCTCACATTGAACAGGTGGAGGGACTGGTTTAAAATTACTTAGATGAACACCCTTCAAAGTCATCAGAAGAGCACCCATGGAATGTAGAGGAAACACGCCTGTGGGAGACCACACCACATCTGAACCGGGTATACTCTTCATCCAAGTTAAGTCAACTGGTGTTGTGTTGCAATCAGAGGGCAAAGCAAGTGATCCATCCCAAATCTAAAAGGAAGAGGAATGTGTTAGTGGCTAGGGTACATCAGATTGTAGTTGGGAGGTCAACTCTGGTCCAAACCAATGGCACTGGGGTGAACTCAACCAGCCCCTGGCAGGAGGAAGGCCCACAACCATTCACCTCAGATGGAGGAACTAGAAGGGAAGAGAAGCCTCCATTCAAAGAACCTAAACAAACATGTGCAAATCCAACACAACCTGAAACAATAAACCCTGGGAATGTACATCTGGAAGACATTGTGAAGGTGGAAGTGCAACATGGAGGGTCAATTCCAGTTCACAGTAGAAATTTTTGACTAGCTTTTCCACTGGAAAATTGTTTCAGTTTCTTGTGTAGTTTAAAAAAAAAGTCTTAAATTTCATGACTTGGTATTCACATTCCCTAGCCTGTTTGTAAAATAATGTTTTAGATTTGATGATCTGTATTGACTATCATAATAGTTTCTTCTTAGCATAAAGTAATAAAAAAATTTTCTATGCATTTTTTAAAAGCTGTGTACTTTGCATAGAAGATAGAGTTCAAAAATATTGAATATTTTTGCCTCTGTCATTAAAATCATCTAGTTAATATTAGTAGTATATGTCCAAAATATGTGTATATGTGTGAAAAAATAAAAAAGGTAAAACAACTAGGTCATCATTCTCATTTTAAATATGGATGTGATTATTAGATTTTATTTAATAAATGAATTGTTCTCTAAGAATAGAATAGTTGCAAATAATTCAGGTAAATTAATAATGTTCCATTAAACACAATAATATTGTAAAACATTTGTTTTCAGTTTGTTTGTTTTTTTAAATTTACTCTATAGGTGACTAAAGAAGCATACTCTCCCCTTCAGTCTTCAGACACAAGCTCCATTCAACATCATGAAAAGAAGGGTAAAGCTTGAAATTCTATTAAGTCTAGATTTTATCTTACAAGTATTTCATCCCAAGTGTCCTAAAAAAGGCGGAATGCATGTTACATCTGTTATAACCAGTAGAAACTATTATTCTATTTGATCATTTTTGTAGATGCTATAATCCATTCTGATACTTACCAAATTTTATTTTTCTATTGACTCAAGTACATTTCTGAATTTGTCAACAGAAATTTTGACTGATTTATCTAAACGTAAGTGCACGAGTGCTATCTGCAAGGGGTAGCTTAGCATTAAACCTATATTAGATTTATGATTCGTGTCTTGTGCCACTAGCCACTTATGTTCAGTGTGTTTGATATTTATTTGTGTTTGATTATTAAAATAAGTGTTCATCAAAAATCAGTTGTAATGTTTCTCATTTATACTACAATTATAATGAAGGAAATTTTCTTTTGTTGATAAATTTGAAGTCTTATAATGCTAAAGTTTGAAGCTCAGTTCTCACCGTATGCACAGCACAGATAGCCCATTGTGCAATTTTGCACTTAAACTTTTGTTGAACAATTTTGCATAGCTCTAGTGGCTGTTAAGCTGTACATAACAGTGGTACATTATTGTTAATTAAGCGATCATTTGTTTTCATTGTGTTGTAAAAAACAAATGCAAATTCTTTTGAAGGTTTAATTTTATTTTCTGTAATAAAGATGAATGCATGATAAAATTTAAAAAAACTGTAGGATAAGTAATTAGGCCACATGTGAATTCAGTATTAACATTTTTCTTTGTTAGTGGCAGCCCAAACTAGGCTATACACAGAGTTAACTTTTTGAAACAAGGAATGTAAATTTGACAAATTATTTTTAGTTACTTCAATTAAATGCAACATGTATGTTTATATTAATTTGAAATGCTGAATTTTTAATTCTTCATGATAATATTGTTAAGTTCATCATTTCTTAATAATATAGAGCTTACATTTTAATGAGTTACTGTTGCTTCAAGGTTTTTGAGATAAATAACAATAATATAAGGAGCTTAGAAAATACTTTCATATTGAGTATACATTTAACCATGTATAATGTTATGGTTATATCTTGTTTCACGTAATATTAATTTTTGATAATAATTGCCAGAAAGTCATATTAAGAGAATTATTTACAAATCTTACAAATTTATGAGTTTACAAAATTTTCTGCTCATATCTGAACACAAAGCTAGTAATTTGTGAAACTGGAGAGCATAACTTAATTTTTTACCTTCATATATCACTTTACTGTATGATCCGTGAAGATTGGGTATTATAAAAAGTTCAAATTATCTTTAGGGAAAGAATCATCAGCCAAGACAATCATACTTGCTGCAGCCATTGGTGTGTGTAGTTTCTTATTAGGGCTTTCTGTCATAGTCTACTGTTTACTGCATAGCAGGTATGGAAAGAGAAGAGCTTCTGATGAAATGGTTCTTCAAGCTCAAGCTGCAGTTATGGTATGTATGTAAACAAATTCTTGTTTGTTTTTTTCTGCAGTAAATAAGAATATGAAGATAAATAAAGTATCTTTTTTATTTGAGATGGATGATATTATAAACGTGCATATATTAAAATTTTAAACTTTTTCTCAAAAAAGTGTAAACTTTTTTTTTCATTTATAGCATACTTATAAATGTAATATGTTTTTCACAATGCATAGATATTTATAGGTATGATATTTAACATTGTAAGTTGTATCACTTCATTTTTATCAGTTGTGGCAGTTTTTCATAATCATGTTCCACAGACATTTCGAACATAAAATAGATTTTTTAGGAGCATGTAGTAGTTTTGTGCAATCAACTCCTTTTAATTTTACAAGTGATTTTCACCAAACTTTGTAGGATGTTGTTATTTAAAGAAGCATATTATTATCTTATACTTCAAAGGTAGGTCTTACTCCAGCTTTTACCACTTTAGCCCTCCCCCCAACAACAGTGTTTTTTGTGAAACCAGTTCTTGCTAGTATCTACCAAAGTATCAGCAAGTTTTGTAGAGTTGATTACTGTATATTAGATATGTTCATAAATATAGGGTTCATCTTACTTTTTTGGTCAAGGCAGTGTTTTCTCAACCTAAAATATTTTTAATTAAGCATTTTTTTTTTGTTATCAATGCAAGGATTTCAACACACATTCTGTGCATGTTAGTTAAGAATATGAGGATATAGATACAGCGATAACTGTTTTGCATGTGTTTGTTTAGACCATTCTAGCAAATTTGATAAAGTTGCAGTCCTTCCTGAACAATATGCAAGAAAGTTAAGATTATTCAAAATGATCAGGATGATTCAAATATGAAACAAGTAACTTTATTGTGGGTTTTGGGTCCTTAACTATTAATTATTCATAAAAGCAATGTTAACAAAGATGTTTAAATCTTTATTTTGCTACACTTTTGCCAAATCTTGTTAAGTGAAGAGTCTTGAGTTCTCATTATGTTCTATTATATGAAGATGTCCAAAGGTCAGTAGGCCAATTTCATAAATGTGAGACTTGTTGCTCACGTATTGCAAAATTTGGTCAAATTATAAGAGATATTCAAATATTGAAGTTAAACTGACCTTTTGGTGAAAGGTCAAAACAACACAGAGTTTGAAGCCTTTATATTGTGTTTGTTCTTCATTAAGGCAGTGTGATCCCAAATGTTGAATTCTGTATAGTTTTTGAGTAATAATTAGTTATAATTAGATAGTTTGCTTTAACTGAGTATAAAGAAAATCAATTCTGTGGATATCCAGGGGATAAACTAGGTGTTTACCTATGTAATTGTCAACTCACCATGTTTTCTTTCTAATCAGGCAGGTAGGATTATCAGATTAACTCTCATTGTTTATGTAATTATCAAAACTATTTTTAACATATGATTTGCAAGTTAAAACTTGGCTTGCCTTACTAGAAAAGTATATTATGTATTTGCTTGTAAGGTTCATTAGCATCTCTAGTTGTTAAATACAACAGTCATTTACTGCTTCAAAAACTTGCAGGAAGAGAATGGATTTATTCCTGGAAAACTTCAGATTGATGAACATGCAGATCTTGGAGACCTCCATGAAAAACTGAAAGAAAAGTACTGGCAGATCCCACGTTCATGCCTTGAAGTCAAAGATACTGTGCTGGGTAATGGACAGTTTGGAGAAATTCATGAAGGTACTGCAAGACGAAGAACTGAGGAAATACCTATTCTAATACATCAAACACGTAGTAAGTTTTTTATCCTGACTGAAAATATATCTTATGAAAGTTTGTATCTGATTTTTGAGTGTGTTTGGGCAAAAAATTGTATAAAGTTCATTAATCTGTAAACAATTTTCAATTAAATGATGCTTGAAAGAGATCTAGACCTATATTATTTAAGAGTCTTGTTATCTCTTTCGATACAGCATTCTTTTCTGTGTATGTTATGAGGTTTTACTGAGTTACATTCAGACTTTAATTAAAGTACTTTATTGTCATGGTATACAAATCAACTTGGCACTAAAATGTAGCTAATAATCCAATTTTAATATTGTATAAGTTTTAAGCTCTTAATTTTATAATGCAATATTAAAAAATACTAAATTTATCCTAGTTTGGAAATTGTGACATTTACTCTCCAGGTATCCCCTCTTTTATAATTTATCTATCACCCCTCTGAGAGGTACAAAATTTAACTTATTCATCATAATATTGTTATTACACGGGCAAAGCATAATTGTTTTAGCCTTCAATCTTATTTTGTTACAGAGCCATAAACTAGAAAATCAGACCTCCTATAGCCACACCCACCTGTTACGTCTTCTCTTTCACAAATTACCAATAGTTCTCACAATGTTTAATACTATATTATTTATAAGAAATAGAAAGCCTAAGTTTTAAATGTATCAAATGTTTTCTGTACAGATAATTGTATATTTTGCTTCCATTTCAAACTTTATTCCCATGGGAACACGTAGATGAGCTTAGTTGAATTTTTAACAGCTTTGTCGCATAGTTACAAAGCCAAAAAAAATTGTGATATCACTGGCCAACAAGTCATTTTCATCATATATAATTATAGGTGGGCTAGATAGCTCTTGGGATGCTGATTCGAAATCTGTTTTTGGTTTTCTTCTAGCATGTCAAGTTTTCATGATGAGACCACTCAAATTTAAAAGTTATTGCCTTAATTATAATTTAAGTTGTTGTGCATTTCTTTTTTTTCTATAAGTGTGTACTGTATCAGTTTAACCAAGTGTATGGTGTGTATAACATTTATGGTAATTATACAGAAAAATTATTAAAGTTGTAACATTATTTAGTCTAATGTATGATTATTACATAAATTGTGCTGAAATTAACACCAGTCATATTTTGATAACTAGATATGCTAGGGAAAAAACGAAAACATATTTGGAATCAGCATGCAAAACTGGTCTAGATAAATGTACATCTTTGATGAGAGAGAAAAAAAGTTTGATTTTATAGATCAGTGTAGTTATAGGACATTGTCTGCTTCTTTACATGTTATTATTCTGTGTTCTTTGGTTCATTATTTAATTAAATAAAAAGTCATTTAGTGGAGTAGTATTATTACTAGAAAAAAGTAGGGTTATGTTTCATTGACAGTCATCTGCAAAAAAAAAAAAGAAGACCCAGGTAAGTACTATATTTCTTGTTTTTCATGTCTATTCTTTATTTATTATTATAAAAGTAACTAAAATGTAAAAATTAGAAACCTTTTAGGTTAGGTTATTTAAATTTTTTAAAAATTATAATAGTAATAAAAAAATTTTCATGAGGTATGCTTGCAAGTAGTCTATGTGTTACATAATTTGATAGGATAATGTGAGATACTCATTCGCTAAGTGATTTACAACTTGTGTAGAGGAATTTTTAGTTAGACACAATTCAAAGAGCAATAAAACAAAATTTGAGTATAAACAGATGTATATTGTTATGAGTTTAAAGCTATTTAGGATAAACAAATGTAGTTTCATGGTACAATGTAAAGTCAACCTAGAAAGAAAAAAAAGGGTAATTCCAATACAATATCTTACCTATTTTCACAAAATAGCTTTTCTCGACTAGCATTGCCCTCCATTGACACAAATTTTAAACACACGCCACTAGCCTCCCACTTCTGCCTATTCACATGCAAATGATCATGCACCAGCTCTCCACCGATAGGAGTGTGACACCACTCCAGTTGTAGCCAGCACCCTCTTCACATCTGCACTCATTAGTCACTTCTTGATAGGCAGTAGTACTTTACAGACACGTTGGTTTTCGCTTGCAGATTTGTCAACATTTTTTATTATGCTACTCACTTAGTTTTTCTTTACTATTTATTTACCTATTTGCATTTTAGTATTGTGAAAGGTTGCTTTTTTTTCAAACTTTTCTTTTTCAGGGACCTTTTGTTAGTGTATTGTAGATACCACTCTGTGGAAAGTGGTGCCTGGCCAGGTATATATATATATATATATATATATTTATTTATTTTCCTTCAAAAATCTGCACTGTCCATCCTGCAAACATGCTCAGTGTCAGTTACATTATAGCCGTTTCTACCACGGACCTGCTGTACAATTGCAGATGCTGCCAAGTGTTCATTGTGTGTGTCTGTTTAATTCTTATCTATGACTAAACATTATGTTGCAGGTTTGGATTCTACACACTGCAGAGATCGGGTGTTCCATAGGACTGGTAGTAGTTCTCTCTAGTGGTTTTTTGCTTCATAAATATGTTTGTCGTGGACTGTACACTCATGGACTCGCACGAGTAAAGCATCTCTGATGCTTTGTCGCATTGAGATTCTTCCTACCACAGACCTGATGTATAATTCCAGATGCTAGTAGGTTTTGGTTGATTGACTCCGTCGACATGGTAGCTCTTTACCAGTTCCTATATTATGGGATGGTGGATTATGGAGGCCTGTCCTCCTGAGTGATGAATCATCCCACTCAGATGAAAGTAAAGCAGTGGCATTCTGCAGGTATTGCTGGCGTATTGCACTTCTTACCTTGGATCTGGTATACAATTCCAGATGCCAATAGGTTTTGGTTGTAGCACCATGCCATATTCCTGTCTATATACCTGATTGATAGTTTTTCGTACTATAACATTCCTCCTTCCTCCAGGTGTACATTCCCGATGGGTCTGGTTTTGGTTGGAGATGGTCTGCTTATGATTAATATTGTGTAGATGATGTGATGTTCGTCCAACAGCAGATCTGATGCACAATCCCAAAACATACTTACCTCTGCTAACACTTATAGCTATTATTAAACCACCAAGGTTTCTTCTTTGCCCATCTAAGCATTGGTCTGACTTTTTCTCACTTGTTCCAGTCTTTTATACCCCACTCAATTGCCCTTAGCAATATTTGTCTTGTGATACTCTCCACCTATGTCAGTGCACACACTATCCTGGTACTGTGCATAAGCACCTCATTCAGATAAACTTTATTATTTTTTCTTGACAAAGCATCACTAACAGGCTCTGTAGAAATAAGGTGGTCCATAAGACCACCTAGGAACTCACCAAGTGGTATTACCATACTATGCTGGACTGCCACTCATGGACTATCATGAGTATGAGTAAAGCTAAAAGGGATCCTGCCCATTTCTGCCAATCATAAGATTGAATAAATTTGGGTCGGTTTGCTTTTAAAAATTTAGGGAACTTGATTCACATACTGCGCTGTTCCTCAGGGCTCCCCAGTGCTCATTACCCCTCAGGTTCTAATAGTGGAGCTAGGGAGTCCTTACCACGCTCAGTTTCCAGTCACTGGTGGTGGACAGAGGCTTTTCCTTCAGAATGTTAAGAGTGAATTTCTCCACTCTTAGAGAAGAGACAAAGTTGGGGGTCCTCCTACTCGGGACCCTGGAGCTCTTTTTCCAAGAAGTCGGTAGAAGTAGAACCAGCCTGCACAGGAGTCTACTCATAATACTGGTTCAGATTTGATGCTCAGCTGTCCAGTTGAAGTGTGCATGGCCCTTCTTTTTTGATCAATGTCGGTTCAGTACATTTTTCATGGAAGGGTGTTCACTATTTTTTTATAATTCTGAATGCTGAGTGGTCCTATCCTGGGTCTTTGATTGAACACATTTGTTCCACGACCTCCCTATAATTCCGGGGGCAAGTGGGTCCTTGCCCACTTGGTTGGGGAGTGAGGAAGAATGTTCATAATTCCAGACTGGGTGAGTCCTGTTCCTTTGGTTGAGTACGGCATATATAATCCCATCATTCTGAGCCTGGGGTGTTGCTTTTCAGTCTTCTTCAGGTGGAGGAGAAGGTTTGTTCACTTTGGTGTTGCTTACTTTTTTGTCATGATTCCGGTGGTTTGGAACACATCACACTATGCCTACAGGTTGGGATTCAGTCAATAGTATATATATATATATGTAACATTGCAGTCCAGTTGCCCTAGCCACCAACATAGGATATAAGGACCAAAACTCTTTAATTCCAACCCCAAGTAGTGGAATCTCAGCTATCTGGTTGGGGATGGCCTATAGTGATGATTAGTCATGTACAGTTCCACCCTTGATACAGAAACTAAGTTCAGGATGTAGTTCTCGGGTCCCAATCTTATCTTGGTACATCCATGATCTATACAGACACTTTCTGTATGGAGAATGCCCTCATGGCCCCTCCACCTTCTCAATGTGGGATTCTAGCTATAAGTGTCAGTGGAATGTAGGTAAGTTTTGGATGTTAACATTTAGCCCGCGTTAGACTGAGATGGTATCAGTCTTGAAAAAGTGATAAAATTATCTGAATGAGGTGCTTATATACAGTACCAGGATAGAGGGTGCATTGCTGTAGGTGGAGAATATCACAAATTAAATAATGCCAAGGGTAATTAAGTGGGGTATAAATGACTGGAGTAAGCGAGAAGAAATCAGATCAATGCTTAGATGGGCAACGAAGAAATCCTGGCAGTTGTGTAATAGCTATAAATTTCAGTGGAGGTAAGTATTATTGGAAATACATTTTCAATTTAGAAAAATGTGAACTTCCAGATGCTGCCAGGTTTTGGTTGAAACACTCCACCGTGTCATGAAAAAAAAATATGTATATTTTTGCAGTGTGCTCCTCAGGCTGAAATGTTCTTCCTCCCTAATATCTTCCAGATGTTCCTTCCCTGTGGGTCTGGTGTTGGTTGGAGATGGTCCAGCTAAGGAAGTCCTCATGTGTGCTGGCTGATTTCTCTCCTTCTGCTGTGGACTGGATGACACATGCCCACTGCTACCAGGTTTTGGACTGGAGATGTGCCCCAGGTTTGCAGTCCCTCTTCCTACCATCTGCTGTATATCAATTCCCGGCAGATGTGGTGTTGGTTGTACTTGCATACAGCACATTTTCCTGCAAGTGTATAGCTGGATATTCTCCTCCTACTGTGGACTGGATGTACTATACCCATTACCATCAGGTTTTGGACTAGAGATGTCATCCTGTTGGGGTTTTCCACCTTCCTACCATCTGTTGGATGTTGGTTGTGTTGGAAATGTGTGCAAGTGGTGATAGATTTTGGTACTGAAGTTCATCTTCCCTACCAATTCCCATTTCTAGGTGATCTACCTACCATGGATATGATGTACCATTCAAGATACTGCCTGATGTTGGAGGAGGTCAAACTACCACCATGGTCTGTCACATCCTAGCCCCCCCACCCAGGATTCTCATTCATTGTTCATACATATTCTGGGATTCCTTCATGTGTTTCTGCCTTTTATGTTCACATGATTGTCATAAAAGATCAAAGAGTATACCTGTATCAGATGTGGTGTGGTCTCTCACTGAAGTGTGATGTTCTTTTTTGGTTCCACGCCTTCTGGTCTCTTTTTGGGCACTTCATAAAGAAGAATCATTTTTGTTTATTGGCCTCCATCAATTCAATGTGGGATTCTAGCTTATTTCTGAGAAGAGGTAAGATATCATATTAGAAATTAGCATTTTCCAACTCTAAAAACTTATTTCTAATAGATACTTACCTCTTCTCACATTTCCCACCCAGCCTCCCCACTTCCGATGATATAAGGTGTAGGTGCAGATATGAAGAGGGCACTAGTTACAATAGAAATTGTGTTGTGCTCCTATTGGTGGAGAGCTGCTGCATGATCATTTGCATGTGGGTATGCAGAAGCAAGAGGTTGAAGGTTAGTGGTGTGCATTGAAAATTTGGGCCAGTGCTATTGGAGAAAAACTATTTTATTAGTGGAGGTAAGTATCTATCGAAAATACATTTTCAGTGTACGAAAATGCTAACTTTAGATTTATTTCACATTTTTATGGTGGTTATGAAGTCAGTCAAATTGACCAACTTTGTATGGGTAGAGAAAATAAAAGATAAAATGTTAAGTTTTACCAAAAAAAAATTTGAAATTTATTAATGAGATTTTAAAGATTACACAAATTAAATTTGACAGTTTTCAGAGGAATAAAAGTATTTTTAATCTTAACATGAAAATCATTTTACACTCAGAGCAGTCAACACTTTGACTCAATATATTCAAAGAGAAATTGTTAATGAAGATACTTGTTTAAAAATTCAGATTTTTTGTTTACAAAATACTCTTAATACTTATTGAAAGCTTGCAAAATTTCATGAAGATACACAAAACATTTCGGAAGCTATGGAAACTATAAATGTCAGTTTGGAGTCATGAACTCAGCCAATTTGACCGAGCTCGTAGTGAGAGTGTTATACAAATATTTTTTCCCAGGAAAGGTTCTGTTAAACACATTTACTATGAGTCTAACCCATGACAGCATTGTCAGGTGTTTGAGAACTTGTGCTCTTTGATGCCATGGCTCATATCTTTATTGACCCACTACGGTATTAGTATAAAAATTATATCATTCTTAAAGTGTTGCCCCACCCTCAATGGCTCAACAGTGAGATTGAAGCACAGCACAGATAGCCTATTCTGTAGTTTTGTATTTAACAACAAACAATTAAATTTATAAATGTACTGATATACACTTATGGTGATCTAGATTCATTTCCTCTGTAAGTTCTTTTAAAACTGAGAACATGTGTTGAGCAATATATGAAACATTTGTATTAAAACAACCAAAAATTTGTCACTGTATTATATCAGATATTTTACTAAATAGAGTGTAAGGTATAAAATATTATACATTTTGATATAAGGGTATTAAGCTAAGTTGACTGCTTGTCTCTGATTAAAATAGGCCACAGTTGAAAATGTGACAAATATTATATAAAAAAGCTGACTAAATGGTAATAAGTAAAAAAAAAAAAGATTTATGTGTTTAGTGGTATTTATTACTAACTCAAAATATTCATTTGAGAATATGTCAGTGGTGAGATTAGGTGAAATGCAACAATCTTTTCTGATTTTGGTATGGTCTATTAAGTACTCAATGTATTTCATGTTTATGCCTTATTATTGTTTCATTGGTTACACTAACTGATGTTTATTTCATTTGTTTTGAACAGCTGTTTCCAGACTGACAGATAAAGATCAGAGAAATTTACTGGGTGAACTTTATGTTATGGTTGGACTTGGAATACACCCAAATGTTGTGGAATTTATTGGAGCTTGTTATGAAGAAGGTTACCTTGGAATTATATGATGCTTAAATTGCTGTAGATATGTTTTTTTAAATACTGTTTTAACTTCATTGCTTATTATAGATTCCAAAATATATGTAAGAGTCCTCCATCTTATATTTCCTGATAATTTTCTTATTATTTGATTCAGGAAATAGAAAAGTGTTCTGTTTCCTGAAAGTTATTCAACATATGTAGAAGTAAGTGTAACAACTAGTGCCATACTTGTATATGTAAAGATAATAAAATTTTTTAGTCACATAGAAAAGAAGAAAAACAAGTTTTAAAAATAAAACTGAAACGTGTGAAAAAACATTTATTTGTAACATGCTTCTCTTATCCTTTAATGGCTATTTTATATTGTTTTGTAGAAGTATCATATTTGGTAGTGGAACACTATTCAACTACCTTGAGAGGCCATGTATTACGTAGCCGACAGACATCTGGTACTCGTGTGACTTCCCTCTCAGATTCTCATTTGCTGGAACTTGCAGTTGGTGTAGCAGAAGGCATGAAACACTTAACAGAAAAAGGAGTAAGCTTTTTCTATATCACTTTTAGAAACTACTTTGGATCACTTTTTTCAGATATTTCTCCATGAGTGTGCCACACATTTATTTTCAGATTGTATTTATAATCAAGTGTGTTATTTGATACAGTGAGCCAGGAGGAGATAATTCACCGGTTATGGTTGATTGATAAGTTTAATGTATATTTGAATTAGTTTCAGTCTGATTTATATGTGTAATTTAAAAAAAAAAACAATTGGAATTTTGATTTTGAAGCATGAAAATCATTTGTGACTGGTAGAAAAATTAAAGACAGGTTGATTTTTACTTGTTGGTATAAGAAATTATCTAGCAATTTTGAACAAAAAAATAGATAGGATCAAGTGTGTAACTGAAAATTACATCACAACCTTCTCACCATGGGCAGGACAAAGTGCATTCAAAATGTAATTAAACTACTTTATTATCATTGTATAGAAATGAACTTGGCACCAAAAATTGCCAATAGTTTTTTCTGATGTTTTGTACTATATTATTTACTAGCTGGAGTACCTGTCCTCTGGAGGGAAGTTATGTAAATTCATGATTAATCAAAGGTTATCTCAGAACCTGAAAAGTTGCTTCCCTTATATGTAATTGTAAAAAAGGCAAAAACTTCGATAAAAATTGCAAAACACAAAATGTGAAACTGCAAATTTGCATGTATCTCTGCATGGTCCCATTAAACCTTCATGCCAAATGTGGTGAAGATCCATCCACAGAAGATTGAGGTAGTGGTAAAAAATACCCATAAAAATAGCAAAATGCAAAACTGAAAATTTGTATGTATGTTCCCATGGATCCAATGAACCTCCATACTAAATTTTGTGAATATCCATCCACAGGAGGTGAGGTAGTGGTAACAAATGCAAAAACACCCATAAAAACTGCAAAATGCAAGTACTATATATTATATATAACCATAGAAAGCCAAAGCTTTAACCCTTTCTATACAGGTCACAGGTGAAAGGCCAGGTCATCTCGTTTGTTGACTCACATTGAAAATTTTATTGAACT